GGGGTAAAAATGGTAAACAGTAGGGACCAAATCAGGGATTTTTTTAGTTCAGGGACCAAATCGGGGATCCGTACAATAGTTCAGGGACTAAAAAGGGGTTTTAACCTTATTTAATTTTAGGTCTAGATGAGGCTTGGTTGCATAAACAAAAAGTCCATTATTATAGAAGTGCAATACATAAAATTAAATGTCACGGGCAAGCTGCAATTGCACCTTTAATGTCCATTATATGTACCGTTCTCCTATTTTCGCATCCTCCCATCCTTCAATCTCAAAACATGAAAAAAATGTCAATTGAACATTCAGAGTATACATGAAGCCAATAACAGGCCAGGGGGAATCAATTATTCCCAAAATCCGGAACATGAATCATTCCCAAAATCCGTAACATGTCATCTCCTCCGGTCACGCCATCTTCTGTTTCCCTGCCTGTTATGATCCCAATACCCAGAACTCTGTTGCCATGAATTTTCTGGTCTGTAGCCCCATCCGGGGTTTGTTCCAGGCTCCATGTTCCGTTCTGATACATACCCTGGAGATCTAGTGGGGCTGTTGTCCGGACTCCATGACTCAAATCCTTGGTTACTAACATACTCATTCCCCTCCCATTGAGGACCTGCTCGTAACTGACGCTGCACAGGTCCTCCCATTGATGTATTATAATTGTTCTGAATGGCCTGAGAATAAGGGTTTGAAGCCAAACCCTGCCTGATTCTCCAAGGATCAGTTACGGCATCAATATTTCCCGATGGTGGTCTAGATGAATATACATGAGTAAATGATGGATCAGATGCAAGGGATGGCTGCGACTGTGCTTGTGGCCTTGATAAATAGGCTGGCACGGAAAATGGAGTGTGTGACTTCTCTGCTGCAGTTGGTGCAATGGACAAAGGTAGTGAAGGTTTTATGTTACTTGTGGTTTCAACCCGCAATGAGGGGCCACCTGCAGCATGTAAACTTGGTACATAAGCAGGCACGATGGGTTGATTTTTCATGGTTAAGGTTACATCTGTTACTGGTTTTTGCATGATTGCAGAGGGAACTACAGGAGGCTGTTGTGTTTCAGGGACCAGTCCCACATTTGATTGGGGCAACAACTGTGTCATGGCTGCAACTAGCTGCTGGGCTAATGTTGGGGCATTTCCTTGCTGTTGTGCCGCTGTAATGTCAGTAGGGGGGATATGAGGCAACACTGATCCGGAAGCAAGAAGCTTTTCCACGGTGGAGGCAGTAGGGGCAATTCTGCTGCTCCTCATTGAACTCTGCTGTGAAAACGGATTTCTGACTGTCTCTGGCCTCCCTCCACTCTGCAAATTAAGAAAAATATTTCTATAAAACAAGATTGATAACAAAAAAAATCTATGAATAATACGTTTTAATCAATTAAAGTTTTCTTCCAATAATTAGGGGACCGGTGGGTCTATGAATGGTGCAGACTGCAGAAGCACCACTCACCAAGAGTCCCATTCCAAAACGGTTAAGGTAGCGTGGCCTATTCTGCACTTGCCACGTTTTCCCAGGTGTGATGCCGACTCTTCAAAAGATAAGAGATAAAAAGAGATACCAAAAATTTATTTCCTCACCCTCTCCCGTGCGAATGAAACATAATTTTAGCAATACCTTTCTCATTTTTCATCTCAATTAAACTAGTTGGTATTATTTACGTTTTAATTCATGCTAGCATTTCTATGTTGTTATTATGTGTATAATCTAAATGATCTTTGGGACGAGCCTATATCACGCACCGTTCCAGGATTGCTGGGTGGAGTGGGTGATGGAAGAGAAACTTCAACCTTCTCTGCTACTTTATTACCAAAACTATTCAAATTAGCAGCTAAACCAGCCCCACCAGACTTAATCATATCTAGCAGCTTCACTGTTTCCTGGCTTGTCAGGTTAGCAGAATTGCCAGAAGTCAAGGCAAAAACCAGGTCTGGGTTTTTCAGCAAGACAGCTAACAGCTCTAAATCGGGTTCTGCTGCAATGGTGCAGCCAATTTGGGACGATGAAGGTGCCTGAGCAACTGCTGCACCATTTACATGTCCTTCATGGACAACCTGTGTTTCTGAGCCATCAATATCAGGTGGCTGTTCAGTGGGGATTTCTGGGGTGAGTGTGTCATCATAGTCCATTTCCAGGTCCCATGGTTCCTTTGGATTAGATGGTATTTCTTGAACTGTATTATAGGTAGTTTCCTTCTCTCGACGGTTTCTGTTTTTCTGAACATCAATCTCTTTGCTATTTTCACCATCACCAACTCTCCAGGGGTCATGGAGTTTGATTTCTGCAGAAAAGAAAATGGATTTAATTGGCTGAAACCCAAATATCAACAAACATCCCAACAACTTACAGAACATAATTAAGGGACGACAGTGAAATACATAATCAAGCAGTTTGAATACTTTTGTAGATTCAATCTGCTCTCCCAACAGACCGTCTACTAGGGCTGAGGGGGTTGAATTATTTTGGACAAGATAGATACAAAAATAGAAATAAAATGAGTAAAGGATAATGAAGAAGGCCATTGAGCAATATTTCAACTTCCAACCAGCTACAGTCAGCTTAAACAGTCAAATGTTCAGGATCAAATGATTCTTGAACTCTGTTTATCAGAGAATTCCATTCAAATCCAACTATCAATTTCAACAGCTCTTCAGCTGAGTATTATTGGCTGAAAAAGCCTATAAAATGGACCAAACGTAGATGATATATCCCGTATTTTCTTTTGACATGAAATTGATGGCAACAAGCAAGCAAGTTACCACTTCGCGCAGTTATTAAACTTTGGACCATAAGAATTTCAGATAGGCTAAATTTCTGAGGGTATAAAAATTAGTGGGTTTCAACTCCGCAATCCCTATGGTATGGCTTTCTTGGTCAATTTAATGCTGTCCTAAATTTGGCTTCAAAAACAAGACTTTTGTTCCTCTTACAATATAAAACCAGATCTGTGCTTAGATGTCAGAAGCAGCAAGTGTTAGAAGAAAGTGAAGAGATTGCAATTTTCAAATTTCTTAGGGTCTATTTAGTATCATTGTTGTTTTAGGTTTTTGGTTTCTGTTTTAAAAAATTAAAAATCTATCACTCAAATTTCTTAGTACCTGTTTAGTTGCATTGCTGGTTTTCATAGTAGAACAATTTAAAAATGAACTGAATGGGTTTTAACAGAGACCAAAAACCAAGAACAATGATAGTAAATAAACCCTTAGAATCTAGACATTAAAGATAGTATTGAAAAACAGAGCTCTCATTGCAATCACCAATCTAAAAATTACAGTTTGGGTTTCTGTTGATCAACCAAAGCCACAAGGCTTATATCAGACTCAATTTTTAACTATGAAGGATCCCATACTCACTTTCATCGGATGTTGGAATAACTCCTCATTCTGCCAGCATGTTCTCATTCAAGTAAATATTGCCTCCAAATTTGATATGAAAAACCCAGTTAAAATTGTCATATAAGATTGCTAGTTTGTAAACACTTCAATAGAATCAATTACAATTCAATCTCAACAGTCCACTAGTTTAGAAATACTAACGTCCCTTTATCTTTTAATGTTACTGTATGACTTCTTTTTGACTTCTTATTTACAAGCACCTTTTGTAATTTAGACAGTGAGAAAGGTAATTGACCATGTCATTACAAGACCAATCCACAAGTTTGGTTATAACATATAATAGGATATCCAAAGCCAAAATTGTTTCATGTTGTAAAACAGTGGCGAAGGCATCAGAATAGCAATCATATAAAAAAATTAAAATTTTTGCCATAAAAATTATGATCTTCAATTCTTCAATAAAAGACAGTGCTGCCTTGGGTGGTCCAAGTAACATGAAACTTATCGGACATCAAAAGACATTTTTAACAAATTGTCCCATACAATGAATGCAAACAAGCCAATTTTACACACACACACAGAAAAGAAGAGGAAAGCAAGAAAAGAAAAAGAGAGATAAAAGTAGTTTACGAAGTTATTGCATATGAAAGAAATAATACTATCAGCAATGAAGTGGATGGGATTAAAAGGGAGTTGTAGTCTAAGGTTAAAAAGATATAATTAAATCACCCTCCAAAGCAATTGTGGAAATAGCACACAACATACTCTCTACTGCTTAAAATTTCAAGATCATAAAAACTTTCATCTATTCTGTGGTTGTATTACTCTTTCAACAATAATGCTAATGGTGCACAGCTAAAGGAAACAGCAAAGAAACACTAAAAGTGATGGTACCTGGTGGTGTCCACCATGGGATTTGAACCTTCTTGCATTTTTCCCATGGGGGCTCCTGTGAGTCCAGTTTCTGGTTTTGATCAAGAGTTTCCATCCTATTAAAGGTTTTGCATTTCTCCTGTGGGGACTCCTGTGAATCGATTTTCTGGTTTTGATCAAGAGATTCCATGCTACTAAAGGTTTTGCAATTCTCCCATGGGGGCTCCAGCGAGTTTACTTTCTGGCTTTGATCAAGAGTTTCCAACCTATTAGAGGTTTTGGTGGGAAGCATCACAGGCTTCTTTGGTTCGTCAGGTTTAAGCAAAGCATGACTTACAGATAATGGGGATGAAATGGTGATTGGAGTACTTGAAGATTTGTTTAAAGTTTCAGTCTTCCCTTCATTTGTTCCATTAGGTAAACAAACAGCCTTCCCAGATTTGCTCTGCATATACAGAGCACGCATTTTTGCTTTCTGGATATCATCAGCAGACATTGGACGGCCTTGATTAACAGGGGCTGTTCTTGTTGCCTGGGAACTTTTGCCAGATGTTTTTTGACCAGGTTGTTCCACCAACTGAACCTTTCTGCGCTCCCTGTTATCTGGGCTAGCTAAGGCAATGTGCTTGTTTTCATCAATAGTTGGCTAAATAATTGATAAAATATTGCCTTGCAGATATCAGAAAACATCATAAGGAGACAATTCAAAAGAATACGACTGCTTAGAAGTTAGAAGTTCAAATAATGGATCATAACTAGCGCAAAGAAAGCTTTTTATGCTTAAACACAACTCTAGTCTGCCGAAAATATCAAAAAGAACTTTAACTCTTTAAGTCTAAACAGCAGAGAACTAATTTAATTAACAAATTCTATAATTCACAGAATTTCCCAGTCATATATAACTTGATAACATCTCCACACTTAGCTAATAAATTTTTTAATTTCATCTGCCTTCCCTGAATGGCTTCAAAGCATACTGTAAAAAAGCTCATCCAACCAAAAAGAAAAATTAATTAAATAACAAGGAGAAAACCTGAAGCAAGGCACACACACACAAAGATAAATATATATTTAAAAACAGAGTGCAAGGATACAGGAAGCTGATGCACCTAAAATGTGCTTCCTTGTTGAATCATCTGTTGGGGCTGGCAATAATTTCAGAGTTTGTGGAGAATCCAGTTTCCTGAATAAGAATGTTACCCTCAATACTCAAAAATTACCAAATATCCACAACTCCAAACGAGCAAAATAAGATAAACATCAGATTATAAGAGATATGCATGTAGATATCCTCACCTGACATTTGAGGGAACAAGAACTCCTTCCTGGAATATAGTAAAATTTATTAGAAGACATCGCAGAATCATATTGTCAACATATTTTAGCTGATCTACTATCCACTTACAGCGTTGTCAACATTTGATTGCCACGATTCATCTCCCATAATTTCGTTGATACTGCAAGGTCAAATTGCAATAATAAGAGAGTGCTCAGAAACAAAACCAGAAAATAAGTGAGGCAAGGATATTAACATGCCTCTGCTTCAGCAGCAACTCATTCTGTGCTTCAGCAGATGACTTCAAACCATTGGGTTTCTTCATAGTCTGACTCCTGGCGAATATTTTGCTCCACCTTGATAACAACATCCTTGCCCTGTTTGATATGTCTGATCTTCAAATCAGATAAATGAGATTCAAAATACCACAAAGGGCAAAAACAAATAGTATTAGAGCAGAACCACCTAGACTGCAACAAATAAACTAAAATGATCTGTAAAATAACTGCCAAAATTCCTTGTTTTTCTATTTCCAATCCAAATCATATATAATAGTTTGAATGAGTAAATTTTTGCAAATTTCTATTGCTGGTTCCACTTTCTTCTACAATAACTCTAAAGTAAGCTAGATTACAGAATGCATAACACCAAGTTAGCAGATAAAGAAGTCTCAAAATTTTGCTTTAAGATTAAGCAAATTAAAGTCAGTATTCTCTCAAAAGTATCTCACATTCCAACTAAAAACAAGGATACAGAAGCCCACCCATTCAATAGAGTCAAGATTGGTTTATAAAACTAGTTAAGTGGAATTTAATTTTGTGATAAGGATCCAATCAATTGGAATTGAGCAAAACAAGAACTACCAGAATATAGCATACATGAGAATCCAAAGTAAAATTCAAAAATTAATAGCACACCTGATGTCCTGTAGAAGCGCAGTCTGTTAACACTGTGTAGTACTGCTGACATATGCTCAGGGAGAGCTTTATGCAGAGGCAAATGACAAAGAACCTAAAATCCAAACACTGCTATCCTAAGTAAGGTTATAAGGAAAGAAACTCACAACCCACCTGCATGGAATCCATACTCACCCTAAGGATGATAGCCAAAATGGTTGTTTGTTCTTCAATAGCTGCTTGAGTCAACCATGTTACTAAAATCATCACACCACCTTTAGTTAAAAACCTGCAATGGTATGAAGGCACAAATGGATCAAACAATACAGAAAAACAAAAACAAAAATCGAATTTTATCATGAAGTTTCTTTAATAGCTACCAAGATAATACTGTAGAATTCTGTATCTTTAAGATCCACTCCAACAGCTTTCCTTGACCAGAAAAAGTTTCCTCTTTCCGCATCACATGGAAAATATTTTCAACAAAATGTCTATCTGACTCATCTAGGCCAGGGAGAGCATCCTCCTGTGTTGAGCAAGAAGGTGCTTCTTCAGCACTTACAGGGCCAACTAGATCCAATGGAACAGGCTCAACAGGTGTTGTGACATCCGACACAGCAACACTGGGCCCTTTAGAAGCATTATATCTAATGGCCTTCTCCCTTGATAACCGAACTTGCTTTCTCACTCTTGTGCGTTGACTAGCAAAAAAATCACGCACCTGCAAAAAATGAATGAATAATTATAATGCCTTCACTCTGAGATGAATGGTTTGATTGGAAAAAGGCATGTAAAGACATAAAGAAAGGTTGAGACAGGTAAAGACACTGCAAACAACACTTAACATAACTATCCATAACTACTTCCCTATTTTTAACAATGTATCACTAGTGAGCATAATGGAATGGAGTTACAGATCAAATCTAGCAACAGTACAAGCATGCTTTCAGAATTAGGAAAGTAAGAAGCTATGGATGAATAGACAAAAACCTGTGTAACTGTAACACCGAATAGAGCACTAATTTCACGGGATTCCTTCTTACTAATCGCATCTTTAATAGCAAAAAGTCCTTGCATGTATTGTATAGCCTTAGGGTTTAACAAATCTCTAGGCCGTTTTCCTGCAAATTTGACAATGTAGTTAAATTAATGATACACCAAACAAACACAAGAATTCATAATCTTGAATAAAAACCCTCTAGCAAGACTTACCTATTTTTATAGATAAAGCACCAGCTGCCTGTCCATTGGAAAGAAAATATTTCATGAGCACACAATTCAATTACTAAAAAAAATTGGGAAGAAGGTTGCATTTTTCTAAGCAATAAATTCGGTTCTATCAACGACCTCCCCACACAACATTATTGGTATAAAACTGAAAAGCTTACCAAATATGAAATTAATAGTTGAGATATAAACACCCATTAGCTCTAATTCTTAGAAAAAGTACACTCCTTCACTAATAATAAATCAGTAACACTTGTTATTCCAAAAATTACACAGAAGCTTGATAGAATTTTGAATGACATACCATTTCCTGAGCAAGAGGATTGACGCCGGTGAGCTGACATTGTTTGACAACCACATTACGGAGCTGATCGATCTGGCTGTGGAAAAGCTCTCTTTGTGACTCCAACAACTTTTGAATCGAATCCACGGAGCTTCCAATCTCCACCTCTTCCAGATTCTCCTTCAAAGCGTCCATCATAGAGACGAGAGATTGAAAGCTCGACCAGATCGACTCAGAGCTCGCATTAGAATTCAGTGCATGAGTAATTGAGAGAGATATGAGAAGAAACAATGGTTTCGGTATTGGGGGATGAAGTGTGATTTTAGGGTTAGGGTTTGGTGATTGCAGAGGGAATTGTAAAGAACGGGGACGAAGATAGAGGAGCTGTGAATCCGGT